TGATGTTGAACTAAACTAGAAAGGCCGTGCAAATACTTAGTTATATTGCAAGTCAGATATATGTCGCAGGTATCTTATGCCACATTATGTCAGGAGATAAATCAAACATCAATAGCCCTTCAGATTATGAGTAATAGCTTCATGAACCTCTACTATACTTGAGACATCTGCTTTATATCAAGTCAGACCTCTGGCCTGACTAGCTCAACATGTCATCATTGGCAGTAAGTAGCCCTTCAGGGTTTCAGCAGGCGTTTCTGCCAGCTGTTGATGAAATGCTATTATTTGAAGCAAGGTTCTTCTGCACTCAATGAATATGCTCACTATTACACAATTATCTTTATTAACACTATGACCCATTACCCTATTACAAAAGCAAACTAGGTAGCAGCAACTAACCAATCTTGTCTGATCCCCTGAACCCCCTAGGCAATATAATCCTGGTAAGTACTTTAATGGGGGATCACCTAGGAATACCACAATTGTCAACTAGAATGGGAAGTTAAGGGGAAAAAATCCAAAATCAAGCACTGGTAAATCCGTTCTATAATGCCGTCCAGAAAAACGGATGTAAGAAGTTAATTAGGCTCTATTCAAGAACTTTGGTCTTCATCCTGTGGTAAAGTAAATATTTCCATGGATTATGTTTCTGAATAAGATACAAATTTATTTTATTTCATCCATCCTCCTTTCAGCAAAAAAACTATAACTGAGATGAAATTTGCTGCCTGACTCTATTTGTCTGCTCCGAGTTGCTTCAAATGGTGCTGTTCCTAAATAGACCTGTGACATACAAAGTAAAAATCGGCTGATTCTTCCAACTTTGCTGTCTTCAGCACATCAATAGTTGGTAGTGAGAAATACACCTGTCAATCATGGCACTGCTGCAGAAATGGGGCAATATCACTGCAGGACTCTTTCTGATGGCTCTGAGTTCCTTCATGAGCCTTTCTTCCTACCCTCCACTTAGTTGTAACTCAAGTTGGATAATAAACAGTCACTGAGGAGATGGCATCACAAGTTGCACTTTTATTTAGGATTCCTCTCCCCTTTCTTTCCTTATATAGATTACATAGATTACAACTGCTGTCTTCAAGATCCCTTCATAATCTGTTCAGAAGGATGAGTTGGTCTCATCCTTCTACTATTAAACTACATACTTCAGCCTCTTACTAATCCAATCAGGACCACAGTTTATCACTTGCAGTACTTTTAGGTGAGCAGCCGAATGGTATTGCACAATTCTGAGAGACTACCACATACATTTTTCAGTCATTGTTTGTTGCACTGGAAAATACAAAAGGCAACACCCGGGAGTCATTTGGACATGTGTGGTAAACATTGGTTCATGGTGGGCTATTATTTGCATGCAACTAGATTAGAGTTGTCAATGAAATGTAAAGAGAACTATACATGGGTCTACTGTTCTTGAATAAATCTCAAGAATCACGATAATGTTGCAGTGTCCAGTTCTTTAGGGAGACAAGAGGAAAATGATGTTAGGTAATGTTGGGGGGAGGAGGGTAGCCTAGCGGTTAAAACGCTGGGTTGTTGGCAGTTTGAGACCCAAGTATCAACATGATGGGGTGAGCTCCCATTACTTGCCACAGCTTCTGCCAACCTAGCTGTTCGAAAGCATGCAAATGCAAGTAGATAAATAGATACCACTTTGGTGGGAATATAACAGTGTTCAGTGCCTCAGCTGAACTGTCTTGCTGGCCACATGACTACAGAAGCATCTTTGGACATCACAGATTCCCTTGGCTAGAAATGAGCACTGTCCCTTAAAGTCAGACACTAGATCTGGACAGGGGAAACCTTTACCTTTTTTTAAGGTTAAGAGGTATCCAGAGGGAGACATGATGATTGTAGAATCTGAATAAGATTCACTGATTCATTGTTACTTCTCATTTGATATATGTGGCAAAGTGGCAAAAGAGATTACAAACACCTAGCAGTTGTCATAGCATACTGTTGATTTAAGAGGAGAGATAAGAATGAAGTCTATCTGGTCCTTTGACTGGGGAAGCTACGTCCCCATGTCATTGAAGCAATGACATGGGGACATAGCAGAAGAAAGGTGCTGCCAGAATATGTTTATGCCACAATTGGGTACAAATGAAGGAAAATGTTCAGCATGATTCTTCCTAAGTCAAATCATCTAGTAATGCATCTGCCTTTTTGGCCCAGACTGCCTTGAAGAGTAGCATCTGGAATTTTAGAACCTAGACTAAAATGTATTTTTGGGACAATCTCCTCTTATCTTGGGACAAATAGATTAGAACCCAACCCTCATTCTTAATCACAACCCCCTCCTTTCATTTGGTTAAACCAGGTTTTAAAATATTATGTAAGAAACCTCACAAATAAAGCCAGATATAAATATTTGCCAAGTAGGAACTTGTGCAATTATTAGGAAAGAACAACTAAGAACCTGCTCTTTGCAGATAAAAGAAATTTCTGCCTAACTTGAAGGACCATTATGAAGAAATCATTCATGTTTCTCTTCCTTTCCTGTCTTCCATATTCTTTGTTTCCTGCTAACATAACACAAATCACTGCAAACCTTTCACAACCCTCATTTCAGGACACAATTTGCCATTTTTGTGATGTAATTCATTTTCTGCAGCTGCTAGTACTCATAGAGCTGTTCACTACTCATAGAGAAATCAGTGTGATGCTCAGCATCTTGGTTTATTTTTAAAAAACACTCTTTAAAATATAAATTAGTTTTATCATGTCAGAAGTCAAAACTCCTTCTAATAAGTTAAGCCGTCTTGCTAAATATTAAGATTCAGTAATTATAGCCATACAGCTCACTGCCAAGTTTTAAAACTTAGTCAAGACACAGGTCATTAAATCCAACCCAAAATATATATGTGATTTAATACTACTAGATTATTTTCAGAATCCCAGCAACCTACCTTCTGACCAGCCGTGGTACCTTTGCAGCCTGTATAGGACTCAGAGGAAGATGCAATGAATAATTATGAGGAACTGGAAGGCTCAGCCAGTCACATGGGTTTGAATAGAAAGCAGCCAATTACAGACTGGAATCTCCGCCTTAGAAATTAGCAAATGCCAGATAAAATTATCTGTGATATGGCTAGATTCATTCTCTTTCCATCCTTTAAACTATCTTTCTTCCTTTTGTGAAATGTGCAGTTTAAGATAGAAAAGTTCTTGAACTGTGTTTGTCGAATTTCTGAGATTTACTGGTGCCATTTGTAAAAATAAAATTTGAATGCAAATGCATACATTCATTCATAAGATTTTAAAGGTTAAATTACAACTGAAACCAGAAGTTTTTATTTTGGGACAAATGGATAGGCAACTAGAAAACAATCATGGAACTTTGTTTTTATATATGACAATTACAGCAAGATTATTATATGCTCAAAAATGGAAAAGTTAGACACTATCCTGAATGGAGGAATGGCTGGCGAAGATGATGGAAGTTGCAGATGGCTAAGTCGACTTTCTTGATTAAAGACATGTTTATTGCTGACTAGAAATCCCCTTATAGGCTTTTTACATGAAATGGAAAAATTGCATTTATGATTTGATGATTAGAAAAAAAAATTGGATAATAGAAAAAAAGTGAGCTTTTTTTCCTTTGTAATCATAGAGTAATAATTTTGTCAATCACGCTTGTATTTGTTGCAGAAGAAAATGAAAGCTTCTTCTATTTCTTTTTGTGCTCTTTTCTTTCTCCTTTTATTCTTTATTCTTTTTATATTTTCTGCAAAATTTTTAGTAAAGTTTATTTTTAAAAAGCTGTCACCGTGGAATGTTGTTTTGCAGCTTCATTTTTCACTCTATCATGGGAATGGTAAATAGGAAAACTTTACACACACAGTCTCGTATTTTTGTATTGTATTGGATCTTTTTTTTTTAAGTGACTTTTCTTGTTTTATAGTCTAGGAATATGCCATGAATAATGTGTGAGATGGGCACATATTATTTATTCCAACAGAGTGTCTCCTTTTTTGTAAAGGCAAAGTAGAGCTTTAAAGTATTTGTTCTACTTGGCAAGGTTTGCGGACATACCAACAAAACCAAAAAGAGCCAGCTTTGTCTAGTGGTTAAGGCACCAGGCTAGAAACTAGGAGACTGAATTCTAATCCTGCCTTAGGCATGAAAGCCAGCTGGGTGAGTTTTGGCCTGTCACTCACTCTCAGTGCGACTCACCTCAACGGGTTTTTGTTGTGGGAAAAATAGGAGGAAGGAGTATTAGATATGTTTGTCACCTTGAATTATTTACAAAAATAATAAAAGGGGGATAAAAAAATATAACAATTCTATAAATACTATATGATCTTTGCAATTTGTTACAATAGGCTCCACTGGATGTTCTGCTTGCTCTGGGCAATAGGGCAAAGACAGACCACTAGCTTTTTCTCAAGGACAAAGATGTACAGCATTGGACTCAAGATGGTACCAGCCTGCCTCTATCGATCCTTTCATGTTTTATGTCCAGAGTAAGATTTCCTGACTTCTGCAAGCTGAAGTGGCGCTGTGTAGCTCACTTGTTGCATTTTAAGTCCTGGTAGACAAATACATATCTTCCCATTAGTTACACTGCACTGTGAATGTCTCCTCACTTTCTAACACTGGACTCTGCCCTAGTGGTGGGTTTCTACTGGTTTGCGTGAACCGGTAGCGGTGGTGGCGGGAGGCTCCGCCCACCCATCCAGACATTGTCATGGACGCTCTGCGCATGAGGTTCTGTGCATGCACAGAAGCGCCATGCGCTCACAGTTCTGAACTGGTAGCAAAGGTAAGTGAAACCCACTAATGCTCTGTGCCCCCATGACAATTTCATCCTAGATTACCTGCCTATTTCTGAGTATCTGGTGAAGCCTTGTTTTTTTCTTTTTTCAATGGCAGGTCTGTAAAATGGCAAAGCTCTGATTTCTTTATGTTATTGGTGGTCCAGTGAAAATCTGGATTTTTTCTTTTCTTTTACACATTCACCAATGGACTTCTTTTCTTTTAACAGGAGAAATTTGTTAAAAGCTCTGCCAGTTTTCTCTTCTAGCCCAAGAGACGAGAAGAAAGGTAAAACTGTTATTTACTTCTATCTGTCTGCTAACAAATAAAATGTCAAGAACAAAGCAGAGTCCATAGGTGAGATTCAGCAGTTTTGACCAGTTCTGGAGAACCGGTAGTGGAAATTTTGAGTAGTTGGAGAACCGGTAAATACCACCTCTGACTGGCCCCGCCCCCATCTATTCTCTGCCTCCTGAGTCCCAGCTGATTGGGAGGAAATGGGGATTTTGCAGTAGCCTTCCCCTGGAGTGGGGAGGGAATGGAGATTTTACAGTATCCTTCCCCTGCCACACCCACCAAGCCACACCCACAGAACCAGTAGTAAAAAATTTTGAAACCCACCACTGGGGGTGGTCTTTCAATGGAAACCTCATAACTTCAAAGACCCATACATAGAACAATGGATTACAATTCAGACAGCAATTTCTTAAACTTCATTTTCAGTGACTTTCTGCAGGGGAAACAAGTAGTTTAGTTATTGTAAGGAAGAGCCCTAAATTTCAAAGAAACAATCTAATCGACTACTGGAGATCCTGTGCAACATACAGTATGTGACATGTGGGGATCCTTGAGACTGGCAATTCCTTTGCTAAGTAATGCAATAGTTAAGTGAGATAGCACATGACCACAATGGGTTTACAACCTCACTTCCCCCATGGTTTTTAAGTGAATCACCCATGGTTGTTAAGTGAGACATCAGGTGACCATGACTTGTGATTTTATTCCCAGCTTCTCCTTGACTTTGCTTGTCAAAAGCTAGATGTGAACTGCCTAAATGGCAATCACATGAGTGTGGGATGCTGTGACAGTTGTGAATGCCCCTAGTTGTGAAGCACCCAAATCTCGATCATGTGACTGCAGGGACACCACAATGGTTGTGTGTGGACTAATAATAAATTTATTTTTTGAATTTTTTCTTGTAATTTTGAATCATTGCTAAACAGCACAATCATTAAGCATGGAGTGCCTATAAAGTTAAAACTGCAAGTAGGATTGAGGGCAGGTAGAGAAAATGTGCTCCTTTATTTTCCTAATCAACTAATCCTCTTGTCTTATGGTTGAAAACATAGTTATTTGCCCCTCCAGATGTTGCTGAACTATTTCTTCCTTTATCCATTGAAAATCTGCTAAAGCTGATGAAGACTGTTTAGCAATATCTGTCGTCTTCTGTGCCCTTCTAAGGGGATAAAATAAAATGTACACATGCTTAGTAATCCAATGGACATATTTTGACACGAGGCCTAAAAAGCATGGCAAATCTACCCACGGTCTTTCTTTGGCATTAATAGCCATCCTCATGCTTAAGGGCCATGGTGGCATACTCAGGGAGTCTTATAAATTATTATTTCGATTTGGTTCAGCAATATTATTTTTTCTGGTAAATATTATTCTGGAAACTCTGCAGGTGCCACTTGCAAAAAACCCACTTGCTGGTCCCACATCTATCTTGGGAGCCATGGCTTTGGGCTCCGAGTCGTATCATTGTGGCTGCACCAGGTCTGTTGGTCATGCTTCAGCAGAATGACTGTTTATTTAACCACATCCTGTTAGGCATTATTCCCACTTACATATTTTTAGTAGAGCTTCAATTAAATCCATTTGCTCGTTCCACTACATTTATCCTCTGGTCCTCCTGGATGACTCTGAAATGACAGACTTGTGACTTATTTTGGACACTTTGGAAGACATTTATTTATTTATTTATTTTATTTTATTAAATTTCTATACCGCCCTTCTCCAATAGGACTCAGGGCGGTGCACAGCCTAAGTAAAAACAGAGCGTACAAAATTTAAAAACAGTATTAAAATAATTAAATATTTTGGCTGTAATTAAAACAACCCAATTTAAAATTTAGCTCAAGCCAGCCCAGCTAGTTGAAATAAATAAGTTTTCAGGGCCCGACGAAAAATCTGGAGGTCTGTTATTATCCGTAACTCTGGGGGAAGGTTGTTCCAGAGGGTGGGCGCCGTCACAGAGAAGGCTCTCCCCCTGGGGGTCGCCAGCCGACATTGTCTGGCGGACGGCACCCTGAGGAGGCCCACTCTGTGCGAGCGTACTGGCCGGTGGGAGGCTATTGGTGGCAGAAGGCGGTCTCGTAAGTACCCCGGCCCTAAGCCATGGAGCGCTTTAAAGGTGGTCACCAACACCTTGAAGCGAACCCGGAAGACCACCGGGAGCCAGTGCAGCTCGCGCAGGAGAGGTGTCACATGGGAGCGCCTCGTCGCCTCCATAATCCCCCGCGCGGCCGCGTTCTGACCAGCTGGAGCCTCCGGGTGCACCCCAGGGGGAGCCCCATGTAGAGAGCATTGCAGTAGTCCAGGCGGGAAGTGACTAGTGCCTGAGTGACTGTGCGTAGAGAGTCCCGATCTAGAAAGGGGCGCAACTGGCGTATCAGGCGAACCTGATAAAAAGCCCCCCTGGCCACGGCCGTCAAATGATCTTCTAGAGACAGCCGTGCGTCCAGGAGGACGCCCAAGTTGCGAGCCCTCTCCGTGGGGGCGAGTAATTCGCCCCCAATAGCCAGCGATGGTGTCAGCTGGCTATATCGGGACGCTGGAAGCCACAGCCACTCGGTCTTGGAGGGGTTGAGTCGGAGCCTGTTTCTCCCCATCCAGGCCCGCACGGCCTCCAGGCACTGGGACATCACTTCAAGGGCATCGTTGGGGTGGCCTGGGGTGGAGATGTACAGCTGGGTGTCATCAGCGTACTGATGGAACTCCACCCCGAAGCCATGGATGATCTCACCCAGCAGCTTTACATAAATGTTGAACAGAAGGGGCGAGAGGACCGACCCTTGTGGCACCCCGCAAGCAAGGTGCCTCGGGGTCGACCGCTGCCCCCCGTCAACACAGACTGCGACCGGTCAGAGAGGTAGGAGGAGAACCACCGCAGAACGGTGCCCCCCACCCCCAACCCCGCCAACCAGTGCAACATGATACCATGGTCGATGGTATCAAAAGCCGCTGAGAGGTCTAACAGGACCAGGATAGAGGAGCAACCCCTATCCCGAGCCCTCCAGAGATCATCCACCAATGCGACCAATGCCGTTTCCGTGCTGTGCCCAGGCCAGAAGCCGGACTGGAGCGGGTCTAGATAGACAGTTTCATCCAGGTACCGGGGAAGCTGTTGCGCTACCACACTCTCAACAACCTTCGCAACAAAGCGAAGGTTGGAGACTGGACGATAGTTAGCCAAAACAGCCGGATCCAGAGAGGGCTTCTTGAGGAGGGGCCTCACAACCGCTTCTTTCAAAGTGGCCGGCAGGACCCCCTCACCCAAAGAAGCGTTAACAATCTTCTGGAGCCAGCCTCGTGTCACCTCCCGGGAAGCCAGTACCAACCAGGAGGGACACGGGTCCAATAAACATGTGGTCGCGTTCAGCCGTCCCAGGACCCTGTCCATGTCCTCGGGAGCCACAGGATCGAACTCCCCCCAGATAATACTCTCAAGACCTGCCTCAGTCATCCCGTCCGGACATACCCAGTCAGAGGCCAGCCCTTCCCGAATCTGAGCAATTTTGTCATACAGATACTGCACAAACTCCTCAGCTCGGCCCTGCAAGGGGTCATCCCACGCTTCCAGATGGAGGAGGGAGCGGGTCACCCTAAACAGGGCGGCCGGGCGATTATCTGATGACGCGATAAGAGCGGCAAGATAGCTAGATTTCGCCGCTTTTATCGCCACTAGGTAGGTCTTAATATGAGACCTCACCAGTGTTCGGTCAGATTCGGAGCGGCTGGTCCTCCAACTACTCTCCAGGCGTCTTTTCCAGCGCTTCATCTCCCTAAGCTCCTCGGAGAACCAAGGAGCTAGGTGAGTTCGGTGCCGGGTCAGAGGCCGCAAAGGCACGACACGGTCCATGGCCCCGGCAGCCGCACTATCCCAGGCGGCCACCAGATCCTCAGCCGAGTCATGAGCCAGAATCTCAGGAAATGGCCCAAGCTCCATCTGGAACCTATCAGGGTCCATCAGGCGCCTGGGGCGGAACCACCTGGTCGGTCCCACCTCCCTGCGGCGGGGTGCAGCGGTTAGAAAGTCCAGTCGAAGGAGCGAGTGGTCAGACCATGACAAGGGTTCGATGACTATATCCCCTGTATCAAGGCCACTCGACCACTGACCAGAGACAAAAACTAAGTCCAGAGTGTGTCCACCCCTGTGAGTGGGGTCATGAATTAACTGAGTAAGGTCCATGGCCGTCATGGAAGCCATGAACTCCCGAGCCACCTCAGACGTTTTGCCGACAGATGGCAGGTTGAAATCCCCCATGACTAAAAGTCTGGGGGTACCAACCGCCACCTCAGCTATGACGTTGAGCAGCTTGAGCAGGGCCGTTGCCACGCGGCAGGGAGCCAGGTACGTGATCAACAAGCCCATCTGTACTCCACGACCCCACCTCACAAAAAGGGACTCACATCCGGCTATCTGTGGAACAGTGGTCTCCCTCAGATCAAGACTTTCCTTTATAATAACCGCCACCCCCCCACCCCTGCCCTGAGCTCTCGGCTGATGGAATGCTCGGAAACCTGGTGGGCACATATCCACGAGGGGAACCCCCCCCTCATGGCCCAACCAGGTCTCCGTAATACCTGCCAGGTCCACTCCCCCCTCCTGAATAAGATCGCAAATGAGGGGGGCTTTATTTACCACGGACCTGGCATTGCACGACAGCAGCCGAAGGCTCGGGCCCTGAGAGTCTGAACAGCCTGGGATAAGAGAAGGGCTATGGGGACCGGGGCGCGCCACCGCTCGAAGATAGCGAGTGCACGCCCCCACCACATGATGCGGCCCCCTGCTCCCGCCATATCTGCCCCTCCCACTCAACACATTGATAGAAAAGCCCTCGACAGAATGGACTCTAATGTCCCCCTTACCCCCAGAATCCGCACCCTCCGTGGCCCTACTCACAGCTGGGCCGGACCCCTCCCCCCGTGGGTTAACCCCCAAACCCACACAACCCTCCCACCCCTTAAAATCCCTTAAAAATCTATCAAAAAGTTTCCCTAAAAAACCCCTCAATCCCCTTTTTGCAGCATGCCACCTCTCGGGGTGCCAAAGCCCGTCATAAAGGTAGGCCCTTGATAAAGTGGAGGGCCACACCTGCGAGAGGGGGGAGTCTCGCAGAATAAGAAGTTCTGTTGGCGAATACATCTAATCAATCAGTTAATTAATTAATTAATCTGGGGGAAGTCCACGGCCTGGGGGTAATCCAGATAGTCCAAAGTCTGGGGAGGGACATTCAATCAATTCCAAGCGAAGTGTTGATTCCTCATTGTTTTTCAGTAAGCCTTTATAATCTACATCAATGTGAATCATAATCCATATGAAGGCAACTAGAAGCCAGTGAAAAACTCCAGAACTAGTTGGACAAAGCAAAGCAATGGAGAAAGCTAGCACATGCCAAGACATAAATTGGTAGCAGAGTGTTAACAACAGCCATTTTGGGCCAAAGGTCAAGAGTTAATTTAAGAACTCAAGCAAATCAACTCAGTGCTTTGTAATGGAAAGTCTACATTGAACTAGCTCTTCTCTTCTTCATTCCATCCCCAATTCCCAAGTCAGCTGCATAACTGTCAAGTGGCATTTTTCCGGCCAAACATCTGAGGAAACGGTTTGTATTGCATTCTTTTTTCCCTTGAGATGCACTTCTTCCTGCATGTTTGGCATGTGAACTCAGCAAGAAAGCAGATAGTTGTAAAAACAACAGTTCAAGACCGTTCTGAGAAACATACTGATGCATCTGAAAATGTGAAACTGGTTCTTCTAGAGGAGGATACCCATTCTAGATGCACAAGATCACCACTCCATCCCTATAATATGTAGATGAAAATGATAAATTGCAAATACAGTGACTGTCCCAGGCAGAGTATTACAACATCCCCATCATAAGCATATCTCTCTCTAGCTTCTTCACTGGGAAAAAAATTAAACTTCATTATTTCAGTGATGAATACTTTATGATAATGACCAGATAATCCACTTTGCTACTGCCTGTTAAATGGCATGTATCATACTTGTTAAATGGCAAAGTATAAGTAATACTTGAGTATAATATCAAATGAAGAATCATTGGCAATAATGTTAAGATCTCTTTTCAAAGCTCTCTAGACACTGAGTATTGCCAATATAGGTTCCAATTTTTATTTGCTCAAATGCAATTTCTTCACCCCTTATCAGTAATATTGTAGTGGATGGGGTGGTGGTGGAAATATTTGCTGCATAGGCTTTTAAATCTCATTTGGCAATAACATCTGACTTAGTAGACTATCTTAACTTCTTTAAACATTATATTTACAATCCTACACACTGTATAACTATTTATCTTAAAGTATGACTGAACTCCATAGAATCTCTGTATAAATGTGAATAAGATTTGTTTATAAAAAAAAAAAATCAACTCAAGGACTAACCACTCTTAAGCTGGGTGACCTTCAGATGGATGGGCTTTACCTCTTGAATCCCCTTACCAGCTTGGACATGGTTGCTAATTCTATGAATTGAAACCTCACATTTGGAAAATGCTGGATTGGAAAGGTGACAGTAAAGTAAACCAGTCTTCTCCAATTAAGTATTTATGCCAGCAGGGAATGTTTGGAGTTAAACCAACTCATCTGAAGTTACAGATTACTAAACGTATTTTTAGTGAAACACAAAATTTAATCCTTACTACTTAGCATAAAAAGAATTATACATTGACAGAGAGGGAAATGGCCTGCTAAGAGAGCCAGTCTGGGCAGTGTTAAATAGCAGGCTAGAAACCAGGAGACTGAGAGTTTTAGTCCTGCCGTAAGCACCTTCTCTCCATCTAAGGAAGAAGGCAAAGGCAAACTACTTCTGAAACCTTGCAAGAGAACTGCAGGAATTTGTCCAGGCAGTCACTAGGAGTGAATGCTAACACAAAGTTTTAAGAACTCTGGAGGGAGAATTTCTAGTACTATACCAGTCAAAAACATAGTACCATCAGTCCATCTTTGCCAACCTGAAGGATTTATGTTTTTAAAGTAAAATATTACTAGAAGCCACTGCAAATATAGAAAGATTACAAATGGAAAATAACAAAGCCTGGTTGTCTTATCTCTGACATGATAACGTCAAATCTTGCAAATTGTTTGACCAACTTTCCATCTAATGACTCTGGTGAAAAGGAAAAGCATTCATGACCAGAAATGAAATGTATTTATAAAAAAAAAAAAAAAGCTAATATTCTGATTCTTTTCTGCGTTTCGGGGAAATATTAAAACTGGTGGTCAAGGGCATGTAATCTTCCATGAATAAATCAATCCCAAAAACTATTTGTGTTGAAATATATGAAGCTCACATTTTTCATGTTTTTAGAAAAAGAATGCAATTTGGGAATCAGGGGTGTGAACTACAGGTGACATTGCCTTAATTGACCGTAATGACCTTCCATCTCACTCTTTAAGTACAGTATGTGTCCACCCTGGTGAGAAGCAAGTTGCTTGGGTTTTTCCCGAGGAGAAATCTCTCAGTGGTGAGATGACTTATATACTAAACCTGCCAAATGAGAAGAGCTGGGTGTGTGTGTGTGTGGCTGCTATATACAAAACCTATTATCTCTCCATCAGCTGTCGTCCTCTGTTGCAATCATTGAAATGATACCAGCTCAGTTTCCAGGGGAATGGCATAGGGCAAAGATATTGGGGCCCTCCTTTTTCTGTTTCTTCTTCTTCTTCTCCTTCTCTCTCTCTTTCTACATATGCTCTGCTGTTTCCACATTGTTTCATTGTAAAAATGCAACAAACAAAAGAAGGTGGGGATTGCGTACCTGAGAAAGGGTGTGGAAGATGGAGGTTGGGCACACCAACAATGTCAATGTCAATCTTGGGGGGGCACTTCAAAGGTACCAGCCAGGACTCATTAAAGGCTGATGAAAGGCTGATTAAAGATTACTCTATTCTATGGGATTAATTGATGGTGTAATACCAAGTCACCCAACATTTTAAAAAGGAAGCTAGATGCATAAATGTGATGAAGTTCTCGACAAAAGAACTGAAAAAGCTTCTTGGATAAAAAGTGAAATGTTTTCAAAGGAAGAAAAAACCAAGAAAATCCAGTTTCTTTTAGAAAAACCACCTTTGGGGGAGAGAGAGAGATAGGGAGGGAGGGGGGGAGAGGGAGGGAGGGAGAGGAGAGAGAGAGAGGGAGGAGAGAGGAGAGAGAGAGAGAGAGAGAGAGAGAGAGAGAGAGAGAGAGAGAGAGAGAGAGAGAATGTTTTCTCTCACACTCTCACTTTTTCTCACTCAAATAAAAATACTGCTGCTGCCATGAGAAAAGTTGTCCAGTAATCCCTTCATATCTAATGACTCCTGAAACCAGCTGTCTCCTGGGTGGTAGATTTAAATAGAGTTTGTTAAGATTAGGATTTTAATTACTGTTTTGAAATCTGCTTTTCACATCTGCTTTTTTTTAGAAGAGAAAGGGCATTTATTTTGTAAATAGGGACCTAAGAAGAACCATGCTAGGGAAGACCAGAGGCTAGACTTGTCCAGCATAAAGTTTGATAAATAGGACATGAGCAGAATAGCAATTTCTTTTTTGTTGTCATCAGGAGCTAAATCTACTGATGGCAGTGGAGAACTACCATGACTGGCGGTTATTGATACCGTGTTTCCCCGAAAATAAGACCTTGTCTTGTATTTTTTTGAACCCTGAAATAAGCGCTTGGCCTTATTGCCATGCGCTCAAAAACCCATGGCAATTATTATCAGAGGATGTCTTATTTTGGGGGAAACAGGGTAACCATTACCTCCCCTGAATGTCTTTAACACCTTTCAAGGGACCATCACTACATCATATGGTGAAAAAAAGCTGCTATTTAATTATATGTCTTTCAGAGGGAGGGAGCTGCTGTGAATGCATCTCATTTGACTTCATTGGACGAACTCTTATGAAAAAAGGGTAAAACATAATTTTTCTGCGTTGTAATGATTGTATATCCCTATAAAGCAGGGTCAAAGGCTTGTGTCCAACTTTCTTGACAAAGATATTCTTCTCCATCTGCTACAGCTCCAATGGAGGTACATGCCGAGGCAGAGTTCTTCCAGCATGTCTACCAATTGGGAGAAGGAAAGAGTGACTACTTGACTACCGAAGGTTATTCCACAGCTGCTTAAAGAAATGGAGAATTGTAGGAGGAGGTAGATTTCCTAAATTGTTATGAGCAAGGCAATCTACATCCAAGCATCTCAGCTCACTACATATCTGAGTCATGACCAACAAGTGGCATCACCCTTAAATTGCTTGCATGTTAAGACATGAGTTTAGAGAGGTGTTTTTTTTTAATAAATCAAAATGAATCATTTTACATTATACAGGTGTATATGAAGCACAAAGCCTGTAAGTTGCTATTCAGGTGCATTTATTTTTACTGTAATGAAAAAAGGACCTCACTGCTGAATGTGTTAAGTTTCTATCTTGCCTTAACTCCAGGCGATCTGAGAAATTATGAGGATTACTGTTTGATTCTCGCAACAGTCCTCTAAAGTAGGTTAGATAAAAAGGAGCGACTAGCCCTAAATTATTCATGGTTAGGGTGGAGCTGAAACTCAGTCACAGTCCAACATTTATACGCACAACCCCAATCGGGCAGAAAACTGTATTGGGGAAAAAAAGTTGATCCCCATTGTTGATCCTGCCTCTGTTAGTTTTGGGCCCAGTCATTGCAGTCACTTGACCTTCCTTTAGCAATGGATGATAAAGTTTAATAAATTTCTCAGAAGTCAAGGAGCTCCTTGAATGGTAACCAATACTCTAAAACTGGTATTTTAAAAAGAGCTTAAGCCTGATCTGATCATGGGCTTCAAATCAAAGCAACTTAATGAGGACAAGGCAGAAAAGGAACATCTCCAAGGTATACAGTAATTAAGTACTGAGAAAGGCTCCAAATTTAAGTTACATTTACCCCATTCTTTATTTTAAATTATATGAATACAGGCAGTCCTCATTTAGTGACCGCTGATAAAAAATATGACCTTTGCAGATCGATAAAGCCAAGAAAAGTTGAAGTAAGATCATAAGCACAGTTTTGACATCATTTAATGACTGCTTTACTTAATGATCAAGTTGCTAGTCCCAACTGTAGTCCACTAAACAAGGACTACCTATACATAATAAAGTATAGATTTTTAAATGTAATGTCTTTAATTTTATATCAGTAATTGAAAGAATCTGGATTGAATTATTGATCAAGCACAAGGCAATTATAAATGCCCCAAACATTCCTGCATCTGTTCAATTATTTATGAGTTTAAGATACTTGCTTTTAGCTTCCAAGCAAAACAGTCTCCAAAGCAGCTTATAAATGCCTAGAAATTATCCTTGAAATATATTCACAATAAATAAAAAATGGCAAAATAAAATATTCTTTTTTTTAAAAAAAAAATCTGCTACAAGCAAAGCAAAAGTAGTTGAAGTATATGGCATAGGCAAATTAGTGGGAAAATATCCATAGTCGGGACAGTTTATATCCAAGGTTTAACATAACAACAACAAAGCAAATCTAGGATCAACTCCATTACCAAGCTGCATTGGTGAAATAGTTCCTGTATCACCCATCCCCGCTGCCAAAAACAAAAAAAACCTCCCCCCACTCCAGTGGTCTGCAACAAGGTGTACTGTATTCAGTTGCATCACTAACCTCTTCCCTTTCACAACTGCTTCATATTCTCTTGAAACCAGTTCATCCAGTTTGCCTCCTTTACTCTGATTAAAGCACTGTTTATAAGATTTGATGGCAAATAAACACAATGTTCTCAACCCTATCAGCCTGCATACTCACTGCATTAATGACAGGGTCAAAATCGCTAACAGGAGGGTACTCAAAGTTATTTTATGCATTTATTTTGAGCAATTGTTCTCAGTCACGATGGGGCCATGATTAATTAAACAGACGATCTCCTGATTGGTCATCCAATTCATTGAGGATTTTGTTCACCATTGCTAGACTGTTATAGTGGAATGATTAAACCAGCAGTGAGAAAAGTGTGGCTTTCAGATGCTGTAGGTCTAAGATTCCAATTAGCATACCCAAACATATGGGATAATAAGTGCTGCTATCCAATAAATCATAAACTCAAATGCTAGAAATTGCTAGTACTTCCTCTCCTTACAGGATATGATGATGGAATAGAGCTATTCAAAAGCATCTGGAGCAAAGAGCAAAGGTATGAAACATAGACCAATACCTATAATAATTATTGTTTGGGCTCTTATAATCACCATGGATAAAAGAAAAAATATAAAGGGGATCCTATCCTCTCAGTAGAAGAGAAAAAATGATAGATACACTAGGAATGCTTCTGTACTATTAAAAGGTTTTTCTATACAGTGAATTTTTTTTTAAATAATCTCAATAGAAACAAATATTGATTTTTTAAAAATATAAGCACCTATGTACAGCTATTTTATACATATGGTTTTATTTTTTCTACTCTAATAGGCTAACTGGTCAAGGAAGACCAGAGTAATATTGGCATTTTATGTTACTTTGTCTGGCTGACTGGCTGGAAGAACTGGGGGGTGGGGGAGGAGGAGGAGGAGGAGGAAACAGAGTTATTACTTTGGGCACTGTGGATGTCAATACAGTTGGAATACAGAGCAATGGCTTCCAATTCTGTCTTGTTGCCCAGCCCAATACAGAGAAAGAGTAAATTCTGCTCTGGATCAAAACCAACTTCAGTACATTTTTATCTAAATACATGATAAAAAGTATTACAGCTTAATGTTTAATTAAGCATTAATTCTTTTGCCCATCTTTTTTATCTTTGATTTAATTCATTTTCTTAACATGAGCTAAATGGTGGTTATGTCCTGTTTTCAGTGCTAGCAGTTGCAGCTTCCTCTGTATTGTGAATGACCAATATTGTGTGTGAATTGTACACTCCAGTGGCAGCTGGTTTGTAAATGTGTAGTATTAATCTTACAAGTGACAGCAAGATTTTCTTAGGTTTTCTCCCTTGACACATCAGCTTCCGTTTGAGGGTTGGATTTTATTTCAGGAGCTGGTAAATTTGTTTCTAATAACTGTCAAAGTTTCTTTCCCCATCATGGCAGCTCATAAACAATAGCTGAGAGCAGAAGAGCAGATGAAAGCTGTGCCAAAAAGAGGAAGGAAACTGGTAGTCAGATTGTAGAAATATGGGACACTCTTAGAGGGACAAAGGAGGAGAAGAGAGAGAGAAGAATAAAGGAGTATTGTTATAGATGAAAGGCATGGATGTTGGAGGCTGAAGGAACATATGGAAAGTGAAAATATTGATATAGATAAATGTTATTTAAAACATTTATATAGATAAAGGAGATGAAATTAGTTAATGAGGAGAACAAATATAGGCAGGGCAGAAAGCCACAATATGGAAGAATGGGGAAGTAACTAAAATTTATAACACACTTTGATATTTAATATTTGATTAATTGCATTTATATCCTGTATTTCATTTTAGAAATAGATGGAGAACATAATGTTCTCTCCTCCTATTTTCCGTACGAGAACAACTCTGAGAAGTGGGTTGGGCTGAGAGACAGTGACTGGCCCAAAGTCATCAAGCTGGTTTCTCTGCCTAAGGGAAGAACAGAAATAATTTTTATTAGCCCTTGTGCTTTCAAAGAAAGCAAACCAAAATCTATCAGTCTATAATTTTAGAAGTTCTGCATCCTAGTTTACCATTAAAACAATAAACAAGTCTTTGTTGAACTGGGATGCAGAACCTTCTGTCAAGACTTGGCACAAGCAATGTTGTTTAGCAACTGACACCAAGTTTGAATGAGCACTTTTGAAGTATCTGAGAACAGGTTTAGTGTTTGGAACCTTCTTGAGAAAAACAGCTCATAGATCTCAAAATGCAACTTGTTCCCTGTTTTTTCTTTTTATGTATTTGTAGTTTGCAAGACTGTCGTTTCTAATATATCCCTAGAATATGTAATGTCCAAAAGTCCTCAGTCATCAAATTAGCAGAATTATCTTGGTGATCATCAACAGATGCCTAGAACTTGAAGGACCTGTAGCATAGCTTAAAGATAACCATTCTCCTCCTCTTTTAACACCTGCCTCTGGAACTAATCAAGCTAAATCAACAGTATTTGCAATTTGAGACATATTAGTATCTTGACAATAATTAGGTTTTGGGACAGCAAGACATTAATGCAGCAACTGCAAAATTATGGAAAAATTTATTAATAAATGATTAATCTGAGTTATAATTAAATATGTATAATTCAGTGGTTTCTTACCAATGGAAGAAATTAATTAAATAATTTAATTACTTAATTAAATTGATTAAATAGAATATTTAAATTAATTACATATTCTCTTAAAAACCAATAAGTCATTGGGATTTATTACAAATAAATCTTAATAGCATTAGAATTTGATGGCACTGAAAGAATAACTGGATGATGTTTCCATTAAGGTAAGGGTTGGCCATACAGCACCATGACATCCCTAAATGATATGAATGATCACTTTGCAACATCTGCATCTATGTAAAGATACAGGTAAAGTTTTCCCTATCCAGTCATGTCCAACTCTAGGGTGTTGTGCTCATCTCCATTTTTTGGTTGAGAGAGCCAGCACTGATCAAAGACATTTTTGTGGTTGTGTGGCCAGCATGGCTATATGTCAAAGGCTCATGGAATGCTGTTACTTTCCCACTGAAGTGGTACCTATTAATCTACTCGCATTTGCGTGCTCTTGAACTACTAGATGGGGAGGAGCTTGGGCAAGTAATGAGAGCTCAACCTGCCATGCAGTGGAGTCTTGAACACAAGCAGTCAGCTTTCCAACAGACAAACTCAGTGTCTTTAACCACTGAGTCATCACCATCCAGCTCTTTAGGCCATCCCACTCTCTATGTATCATGACTAAAATCACAGAAAAGACAACAGTCAAAAATCTTTGTTTGGAAATAAGAATAATTGGGGGCATTAGCAACATTTGTGCAATGGCTAGAGTTTACTGGAATTGAAGCAATGTATCAGTTTCACAAATAAAAATTGCATAAAATCAGGACTGATTCCTGCTTATAGTCTAGATCGGGTGTCAAACTCGTGGCGTCATCAGCTCTTGATTTACCAACTTCATCCCCAACTAACCTGGCTTACTTCAAGATTAGATTACTGCAATGGACTTTATTTGGGGATACATCTGAAAGAAATATATAGAAATTGCAACAGATCCAGAATGCATTAGTTAGAATTTTGTTGACTGTTCCCTATCAGAGGCATATGACACTTGTCCTACCTAAGTTACAATAGCTACATCTCTTTACAGCTTGGTTCTTGCCTATCTGGAGGAACAACTTTCCCATTATGAG